ATCGCAGCTACCTGAGAGGCTGAGGCAGGAGGATCACTTGAGCCCAGGAGTTTGAGGTTGCTGTGAACTCTGATGATGCTGCTGCACTCTAGCCAAAGACACAGATAAGACCCTGTCTCTAAATAAATAAATTTTTAACATTAAAACTTAAGAAGTGTTATAATTGCATTATGCAAATTTAGTACATAGCCTACAAGAGGAAATAAAGAGAGGAAGTAAAATCATTTCAAGTCCATCTGGCTTCATATGTAAGAACAAGTTTAACAGCTTTCATGTCATTGACATTTGTAAAGACTCTATTTTTTACTTAAAAACAAAACAAAACGCTAATGTCAAGTGGGTCATTTCCAGGATAGAGGTGTTTGTTTCCTTTCTTACCATTACTCATCCAACTATTCAGTCAGAAGCATAATCCATTTAGAGATGTGGTACACAAATGCCTTCTATGTTCACTCTCCAAGTTATAACTCAAAACCTAATCACGTGCACAAATTGTTACTTTTTTTGGTTACTGGTATGTGGCATGTACATTATCAAAATATAACATGCTATCATAGTGTTTGAATACATTGCTTATTTTAAACCAAAGCAACAAACTAAAAGCCAATTAGTAATAACTACTTTGATACTTTTTTCACTGTAATTGCTCAGTCTCTGTATGTTACAATTTGTAGTAAATGGGCTGCTGAAATAAATACTCAACTGTTTATTCATATGACCACGTTACCATCCTCACTAGGTTTTTTTTTTTTTTTTTTTTTTGAGACAGAGTCAACCTGGCTGGAGTGCAGTGGCGTCATCATAGCTCACTGCAACCTCAAACTCCTGGCCTCAAGCGATCCTCCTGCCTCAGCCTCTCAGGTTGCTGGGACTACAGGCGCTTGCCACCACACCTAGCTAATTTTTCTATATTTTGTAGAGACGGGGTCTCACTCTTGCTTAGGTTGGTCTTGAACTCAAGGGATCCTTGGGCCTCCACCTCCCATGGTGCTAGGATTACAGGAATGACCCACTATGCCCTACCACTCACTAGGTTTTAACACAAGTAAAATGCTGTTAGTGCCTAGTAAAATGAATTAGCGTTAATTACTTTAAATATACCAGTTTACTATTCAATGAATAAGCAATAAGGAAGAAATCTAGAAATTATTGGAAAAATTAACAAGATTATGCTGTATTATAATTCAAAAGGATCACTGGTATATTACTGAAGATAGATTTGGTAAAGAAAAGATAATGGGATATAGTGCCACTGTTGACAATTAAAATAATAGACCTTGAGAAGGTCACTTCTTTGAGTGTGTTTCTGCACCTGTAAAATGAAGGGATTGCACTGTATCATCTCTAAAGTTTTTAAAACTTATGTTTATCTGGTTTTCTCTAATTGGTGAAAAATTGCTCTTAAGGTTTTATCATACAGAATATCTAAATACAAGGAATATCACCATTTACATGGCAATTGCTGTCCGTCTACAATTTCTCAAATTCATTTATCAAGCTTCTATATTTTATAGATGTCATCAAGAAAAAAAATCTGTGATATCTATTCCTAGGTAGGATACAGTACCGGTACATTTGCGTAAGTTAGAAATCTGTAAGTGTGAAGATGATAGTTTATGAAACTTCTTACGTACCATTGTTTTTTGTACTTGCAGGAGCTACACATACGGCTGACCATTTTCTGAGGACCATCCAAGTTGTACCAAGTTAATATGCACAAAAAGCCAAATATCAGAACAAGCTATCTGGGGCTACTCTAGCCAAGCTTAAAAATTGATAGGAGCTGGCCGGGCACGGTTCCTCAAGCCTGTAATCCTAGCACTTTGGGGGGCTGAGGTAGGAGGATAGCTCAAGGTCAGGAGTTCAAGACTAGCCTAAGCAACAGCGAGATCCCCCGTCTTTACTAAAAATAGAAAGGAATTAGCCAGACAACTAAAAATATATACAGAAAAAAAAATTAGCTAGGCATGGTGGCACATACCTGTAGTCCCAGCTACTCGGGAGGCTGAGGCAGGAGGATCACTTGAGCCCAGGAGTCTGAGGTTGCTGTGAGCTAGGCTGACACCAACAGCACTCTAGCCCTGGCAACAGAGCAAGACTCTGTCTCCCAAAAAAAAAAGAAAAAATTCATAGGAGCCATTACATGTGAGTATGCCTAAGAGATTTTCGTATTACATTAGAAATGTAAGGGATTATATTACTCAATTGGTTCCATTGCCTCATTTCTAGTTGAGGAATCTGAGGTCTACAGAAATGACCTGCCCAAGGTTGCCGATCTAATTAGTGTCAGCTGAGAAAAAAGCCTAGCTCTGACTGCCAAATCAATTCTTCTATAGTATATGGTTTCCAAAAACCCATAAGGCAAGTGATGCTCTGAGTAAGTAGGAGAAATCTGAATGGAATATAAAATCTTAACATGACCTCATACACAATACAACTAGTTCAACCTCCCATTTAAATCTGGACTTTCTTCTGTGGCACCTACGACAGAAGTCAGCTTCTGCTCCACTTCCAGTAGTAAGATATTAATCCTTAGGAGGCAATCCCTTTTCTTGATGGGCAAATAACCACAAAGTTCTTTCTTATATTGAGCTCTCATCTGCTATTTTGTAACTTTCACCTAGTTCTGCTCTGAGAGCCTAAGAGAATAATTGTATATTCCTGTCAAACATTGAAAAAACAGCTCTCATTCCTTAGTCACATCCTTCATCTAGTCTTTGGGTTTCAGTTTATGGGCCCTTTTCCAACTTGGTAAAACACCTCAGAATTTGCTCTAATTTGTAAATATCTTTTCATTGTATCCTGCAATGATACTATTTATTGCAGATGTGGTCTGACCAGCATTTTGTACACTGACATTATTTCCCCATGATGTATTTTTCAGCACCCTTAGATCAGTTTCTAAACAGTTAGTTGGCTTATGTTACTTCTAGCAAGCTATTAATAAGATCTCCAGATTTTTTTCATCTATACTTGACAGTTTCATATTTCTATCAATGGCCTTCAACTGTTTCTAGGATAAAGATCAGGGTCCATGATGCCACCTAGTTTTTTTTTTTTCCAGACAGCCTTGCTCTGTTGCCTGGGCTAGAGTGCCATGGCATCGGTCTAGCTCACAGCACCCTCAAACTCCTGGGCTCAAGTGATCCTCCTGCCTCAGCCTCCCCAGTAGCTGGGACTACAGGCATGTGCCACCATACTCAGCTAACTTTTTTTTTCTAATTTTAGTTGTCTGGGTAATTTTTTTTCTATTTTTTAGCAGAGGCAGGGTCTCGCTGTTGCTCAGGCTGGTCTTGAATTCCCTACCTCAAGCAATCCTTCTGCCTCAGGCTCCCAGAGTGTTGGGATTACAGTGTGAGTCGCCTCGCCTGGCCTGATGCCACCTATTATTTTGCATCTAATTAGCTTGCACCAGGTGCATCCCTATGCCAACCTTTCCCTTTGACCTTTGCTCAGTGTTCATGCATTTCAAACACACCTTCCTTCCTATAGGCTTCCAAATACTATTCATTCTTTTCAGCCAGGAAAGTTTCCTCTGAACCACCCAGATGTAGCCAATTTTTAGTCATCCTGCAAAGCTCAGTTGAAATACCACCTTCTGGGGTACTATTCCTTGCCCTGCCCCCCATGTTCCCCATCCAAATGTACCTTTTACCTCTTTGCAGGCTGAAGGCCCTGCAAATCTCCTTTGGCCCTTATCAAAATAGTAATACTTGTACAATGAGGTGTCTGTCTCCCTCAGCTACACTGTAAAATCTATGAGGACGTGGTTTGCCTGTCTTTACCCAGCACAGGATTTTGTATGATTTAGACATTCAATAACTATGTGTTGAATGGATAAATGAATACTAATTTAGCATAATCAATACATACATTTCCCTAGGTAATCAAATAAAACATTTAGGTAAGCTCTGGGTTGTATGTTGTACAAAGAATAAACTGTATAGGTTACAAGACAATCTTAAGAAAGAAAAACCTCTTCAAAAGAAGTGATGATAAAATTTGGGAAACTTTAAAGTCAGGCATGGTGGCACACACTTATACCTATAATCCCACCTGCTTGGGAGGCAGAGGTGGGAGGATCCCTTGAGTCACAGGAATTTGAATAAAGCCTAGGCAACCCCAGGAGACTCTGTATCTCAAAATAAAAAAAAATAAATAAAAATAGAAGAAAATTAGGAAACTTCAGCAATATGTCCTATAAAGATGAATGGTAATTTTTTTCACTCTAGAGTCAGGGAGGGAAGCATGGAAGAAAGCAAACAAACACAGCTGAGTGGTATATTTGTTGTTTTACTGTTAATTTGACACATCTGAACCAAAGCATTCACAATACTTGATATACTTTGAAGAGAATCATATACTATAGTCTTAGACATAACCACAGAACGAGCAGAACAATTAAAACTACATAAGGCCTTAAAATATATCCACAGTGTGTATTATTTCGATATTCATTCATTTACAAATTAGACTACATACCGTTAATTTTATTTTTATTTTTCTTTCATTGTTTTATTCAGGCAGGGTTCATTCAAGGAAAGGCAACTTAGTTTTCGTGTGTGTGTGTGAGCTTTGTTTTTTACTATATTGGTTAATATAAAAGTTATGAATTAAATGTTTTCTTATCTCCTGTATCCAGGAGTGAATCCATGTAATTCTCAGATAGTATATCCAAAACAACAGTTCCTATTCTTAAAAATAGCCAAAGTGAAAAGGGATCAAATAGCCAGTCTGTTCGTGGTCTTGAAGAGCAACTAATGGACTTCCAGGTTTTAATATAATGAAGACTACTGCAATTCCATGAGATTAGTTGAAATTTAAAAGAACATTGCATATAAAAATCATTCTTGAAGCTCTAAATACCTTTTAAATAACCAAAATGAAAATTTTAAGTAGTTGCCTCACAGTACCAAACTTATAAATCAAAACTAGTTAAAAGTCAGTGCTATCACAGACTTCTCATTTACAAGATAACTAATTGGTAAATTAAGAGATGGGCATAAAAATTAAGACTTACATCATTTTTGGGGGGATAAATGTGTAATAACCAGTGAATACAGAAAATCCAATGTATTTTACAATAAAATAACCATTTAAACCTTTATCCCTGTACAACAGGGATTAGGTTAACTCTAGTGAACTTGAATGTTTTTAATTTTTTTTTTTTTACAGTTTATTCCGAGTACTTGAATTGCTTTAGATATACAGCTTTTTTTCAAAAGAATATTACATTTGTATACCAGGATAAGATTTAGTTCATTGAGATGTTTTAAAAATATTTATAAATTTGTTTCTAATATGCAAAAGCATTTGGCAATACTTTTACAGCACTTGATTTTATAGAATTAAAATTTCATACAGTACTCATTTTGATGTTTAAAAAAAACTTCACAGAAAAAATATAAATTACACAGCCTGACTGCATGATACTGTTATTTCCAGTTCTAGTTCTGGTAATTAAAACCTTCATTAAGTCTGTTAACAAATCATTACCTGTACATTTATGAAGGCAACTGACATGATTTGCAAACAAAACCTTCAGGTTTTATGTTATTTACCAACGAGTGCAGTTCAGCAAGAAAAGAAAATGCAGTATGCAAATTTACAGAATATTTTACAAATTTACCAGTTCCTGTGACACAAACTGTTTCAACCTTTCAAGGTACTGTCCATAAAGTTCCACATCATTGTGACCTGCTCCTTCAACCCATAGAGGCTCCACAGGTCTTTGGCAACGCTCAAACAATGCAAGGCCATGTGAAAAGTCAATGACTTCATCTTCAGTCCCATGAATTATTAACACTGGGGAGGTTATCTTAGAGATTTTGTCAATGCTGTAGGGAAAAAGGAAGGGGGAAAAATTCAATAAATTAACTATGTAAAGGAACATAAAACAAATTTTCTTGTGCCATATTAGATAATTCAGACATCGCGACTATATGAATCAGTTCGGAAGGGATGATGCCTGTTGGGATTTCCAGTAAGATTCAAAAGTTGCCATTTATATACTCCTTATCTTAAGATTATCTGTTCTGGTGGAATCATTCAATACTGTCACTACTGCACACCTTTCTACAATATTGATTTTTAGCATAGAAAAACTCAGGTTTCAAGAAGAGGAAACTAAAGACCACATCACTTTCTGTACTTGTATTCTCTCTCTCCTATGAAAATGACAGCAAAATGTTTTGTTTTTTATTCTTATTTGAGTATATAAATATAAAAACTGGGAGAAATTCTGGAGCTGGAAAGCAGATGAATGTGTGAGAACTGATTAAAGGACAGAAGAAAACACAATTTTAAGCAGGTAGAAGGTAAAGAACCAACCCAATCTATACCAAAGAATACTCTAGAAGGCTAAGGAATTGCCATGGAGATGAAGCAGTTTTCTTTTTTTTCTTTTTGAGACAGGGTCTCTCTGTCTGGAGTGCAGTGGTGTGACCACAGCTCACTTCGACTTTCAACTTCCGGGCTCAAGCAATCCTCCTGCCTCAGCCTTGCCAGTAGCTAGGACTATAGGCATGTGCTACCATACCTGGCTAATTTTTAAATTCTTTGTAGAGACAGGATCTTGCTATGTTGCCCAGGCCAGTCTCTAACTTCTGGCCTAAAGGAATCCTCTCACATCAGCCTCCCGAACTGCTGGGATCATAGGCATGAGCTACTGTGCCTGGCCCCTTCTGCCTCTTTTAGAGCTGGGTAACTGCCCTTACTCAGACTGGGGATGTATGTGGACTAGGAGATCGCCAGACTTTATGGCAGGAGTATCACGGAGACCAAGGAAACATAAACTTACTGGCTGCTATGAACCCACATTCCTTATTGGCTCCTACAATTCTGATAGCCAGGCTTTCATCCTTCAAGAGGGAGTTTTAGAAAGAGCCTTCTTGGGAGATTATATCAGATCAGCTCTTTAGCCCCTCACTCTTACATATGAACAGAAAACCAAGAATTATCAGACTTCAGAGGAGAATACTTCAAATAAGATAAGGATCAAAACGAACAATTTTAAAACAGGCAACTTGGAGGAAACTATGCAGAGAAGAAACCTTGTAAACAAACAACTCTTTTTAAGAATCGTTAGAGAGAGATAAGATATTATAAACACAAAATGAGAATGAAATCTTGAAAAGAAGAAAATCATCAATGAAATCATTTAAGTCTGCATTTGGTAAGAAAAAATACTTGGGTATACTATCTGCTGTTATAATAAAACCTAAGTAAAAAATAAAAATATGTAATTTTTGATGCTACTGCATGCTAACCAGGGCAACAGAGCGAGACCTGGTCTCAAAATATGTATGAATGTATGTCTAAAAATTTTTTCAAATAGTTTACTGTTAATGTTGCTCTATTGATGCCCCAGAAATGAAAGAGGGAGGTAGACAGAGATATATGTTGGCAACAGTATCACCTCAAATACTTTCCTATCATTTCTACCATTCGGCTAGATAGAAACAGTATAATGCATATACCTATGATTATTTAAAACACTATCTAAACCAAACCCCAAACAAGAAATTCTTTGTATTGCTGCCAACTGGGGAAAGGAAAGAAGACTGAAATGTGCCAGCTTCTCTTTTCTTGCCTTCTCCTTCTTTCAAAAAAGGTCATCAATTTTTTTCCAACTGTGACAAGGAGCAGGTGGGAATTACCACCTGTTTTAAGCAGCATGAAAGACAAGTAGCTGCCTTTCTTTCAAACCCACCTAATACAGTATGTTTGCAGACTTTGTGGCAGCAATACTTACTCTAATTAAAGACTCAACTTTTTTGTAATTAATTTCTTTTATAAATTAGATATCATTAATTAAATATTATTCACTCCTTTTCCCTTCTACCTGTTCCTCTCCTCCAGTATTATGTATCTCACTGAATGGTACCCACCATTCATTAGCAGCTCACGGCAGAAACCTGGGAGTCATATTCAAGTTTTTCTCTTTCACATCCCTAATCCAGTCTGACACTTAGTTCTGTCAATTTTATTTCTGAAATTCATCCCCTTGTCTCCAATACTAGTACAGTGGCATAAAGCCTTTAGGTACTTTTCATCTGAATTACCATTGCTCAAATATTTCAGCCTCATGACTGGTCAGCTATATGACGGGGGAAAAAATTCCTTCAAAAATTCTTGGCATATAACTATTTTGAATATTGTTACTTACTTTGGGAATGCATCAAAACAGTAGGTCTTCTTGGTATCAGGAAAAGCGACTCGCATTCCCGAGGTCAAAGGAGAATGAAGAATAACAGCAGCACTCTCATACCGAGCAGCAAGGTCCACAGATGGCACTGTCCCTATACTTTGGCCATATATAATCACATTTTCAGGGCGAATGCCATATCTACAAAGTTCAGAAGTCAAAAAAAAAAAAAGTTGGAGTGGTATGAAATGTTCCATCATGCCTAAGGATCTGATCTTAGAATGAGACAATGTCAACTAATTTATATTTAAAATTAAGTTTTTTCATCATTTTTAACGTTAAAATAAGATCTATATTCTCAGCTTATTTTACTGTTTCAATTTTATCTCTTAGAAAAATAATTGCTGAGGTTTTAAAATTTCAA